ATTTTCAATCAATTGGAACAATACCAAACCCAAACAACTAACAACTCAAAAAAATCTTATTTTCGAAAGCAAAGCTTTGAATGGCCTTCAATGGTGGACTTCTACTCTTCAATTTCTTACATTGCAACAGGTGACACAGGGGAGAAGCAGTAATGGTGGGACGACCCCTTGAAGCATATGTAGAAGATGTAAGAAGAAGAGAGAGTGAAAGTAATGGTTGTGAGAACACAAATTTAACTCCATAGCCTTTAGACGCATTGTTGTAAGAACATAGATTTTGAATTTGCTAGTGCTTTCGAAATATGTACAATATGGGCTAGGTCAGGTAAAACTAAAACATGGGCCATTTTTTATTACAGTATGAAGTTATGTATATTTTCTTGTAATTCTTTCTTTTTAAAAACTCATTTTTCATCGATGTCCAACGCTAGCTAAAGCATATTTAATTGAAAGTGTAAAAGAGTTTAACCCTTTGTTGCTACATGATCAAACAACCTAAAGCTTGCTTTGATTAAGATAAGAATAACTAGCGGGTCATGACTCAACCCGTCAAAGATGTTTTCTGAGTCTATTGTCCTTAAAATAATGGAGTACTTAATTTAGTTCGCGAGAAACATAGCTAATGATGTCAGATTAGAGCATAAATTAGGAATAATTATGATTACTATCTGCAAAAGAAATAATTTAGTACACATAAAGTATAAAGGTAAAGAGAATCTAACCTTTAATGCCACTGGTGACCATCATTATGCCTAGCTTTCAGCTTCATGCCTAGATAACAGCCCCACTTTCCCCTCTAATATCCCAACTAATCCACACTATGGCTTTAGTTACCGCCAAATTTATTATACTGTTAAAATTATGAATAGATATTTAATACTTATTAAAATTTAATAAGTTTATTATATATACTAGTATTAGAACTCGCGCGATGCGCGTATAACATTAAAAAAAATATTAATCATATTATTTTAATAAAATTATCAACTGTTATTTGTATCTTTAATGCAGTATAACCAAAAATAAAAAAAAATTAAAGAAACTAATTATATAGCTTTAATTAACTTTTCTATTTATTACTTTAATTATTACATTATCGGCTATTTCGTATTACTACATAGATATAAAAGCTTTTATTAATGGTTTAGTATTAGGGGTGTCAATGGTTCGGTTCGGACGGTTATTTTATAAAAATTTGTACCATACCAATTTTTCGGTTATTCTATTATGTATAACCAAAAAATTAGACTTTTCGAAACCATCCCCAATCATGTCGGTTTCACTTCGGTA